TTAGACGAAGTTATATCCTTTAAATCGGTGTATGTTTCATTGAAATCGAGCGAACGGTGCCTTCAGAAAAGGGATTGCAAAATTTTCTTGTGTCGTATTTATATATACATAGATACTAGCTTATACCCGCGGGTTTCACCCCGCGCTTTTATTCAAATATGAAAAATAATTTAATGATGTTAGATTTTATTTCTGTGCCCATTTCGTTATAGCTCGTTATTTTTTAAGCGAGTTAAGGTATTTAGGCCGTTTAAAACTATGAAATTATAAAATCTCGTCTGCGCGCTAGGCATACGAAAGATATCAATCCCTCTAAGTTTACTTTAAAATGGTTCCAGGTATACGACGCGTGAACGTGTAACCTTCTTGGAGGTGCCACGGCGGGTTCTAATATTTCCAACTCAAATTTAGTTACCTGGCCTTGATAAAATACCACTTCTCATTACTGTAGCAAATGCCTCAAGAGAGCTTTAGATTATAAGGCGGAACCCGGCTCTCCCTTTTCCATTTAATGAAATTTATTCTGTCAGTACGGCACTTATAAAATAAATCTCCATGACAAATTTAAAATACTTCGAGAGATTTTCTATCCTTCCAGAGATATATATTAATATGTTTTTAGTATGTATGGGAGGCGACATGCATCCTTTTTTAATAACTCACATTTTTTCCATGAGCAATTGATACATTTTGCATACACAACTCCATACCAAGTTCCAGTATTCTTCCACAAACACTTCCAGGGATATGTGGCAAGAAAAAGTAAATTTGTACTGGAAGTGCCACGCCCCTTTTTCTTATAATACTAATCTTCTTCCATGAATTTAGAATTGATTTTACATACCCCAGTACCAAGTCCCAGTACTCTACCAGGAACACCTCTAGAGATAGGCAGTATAAAACAGTAAATTTGTACGAAAGGAACCATGTCCCCTTTTCCAATAACTCTCATTTTTCTCCATGAGTATGGTATTGGTACATACATACATACATATGTATTTCCATACCAAGCTTGAGTGCTTTACCCCAAACATTCGAAGAGATATGCAATATGAAACTTTCAGTCAGTATGGGAGGTGCTACGCCTCTTTTCCAAAAACGTCCATTTTTCTCCGTGAATATGAACATGATTTCACACAGTGTTGGCAAACTGTTAATCTATTAACGATTAAAATGTTAATCGCGTTTGACGATTAAAACTAATTAGTCGTAATCAACTGTACGACTAATGTTAACATTTTTTTAATCGTTAATCGCTGGCTGCGATTACGTTTAATTAATTTAAAACATTAATCGTTAATCCAATTATAAATACAATCTGATCCACTTGTCTAGTTTGTCCGAGTTTGAAACCAAACACCAGTTAAAGTAATTATTTTGTGTTTTACGCTTATAAAAAGAACATAATATAAAAAAATTATAATTATTGTTATTAGTAATACATAAACTGGGAACTTTTACAAACCTAGTTTGTAAAACGTTTGTTGGTATATATCTTAATGAAAATGCACACCAAATTCCTTAGGTGGATGAGGAGCCCGACTTAGCCATACCGGATTAACTTACTTTGTGAGCACAAGGAAAATCCAGCATAACTTAATTAATCACCAAACCTACTTGATCAAATTATGAGTTAATGATTAAAAATTATTTTTTTAATCGCGGTTACGATTAACTGTTTAGTCAGATTAAAATTAATCATGATTAACTGTAATCAGATTGAAGTTAATCGAATTAACTAACTGGTTAAAACATCAATCGATTAATGCCATCATTGATTTTACATACATATCACTATACCAAGTTTCAGTTCCCTCCCACAAATATTTCCAGAGATATGTATGTAATATGAAAATTCCAATTTTTATGGAAGGGGCCTGGAGTTATCGGACTCACTTTCAGTCTAAGACCATCCTTCCGAAATCCGTAGTAAGTGTACTAAATTTTGTTCTGATCGGAAAACCGGTTAAGGAGGTAGCCTATTTTTCAATCCAGGTCATAAACCATCTTTGAACAAAATTTCATTTTCAAACAGGTGGAAAATCTTAAAAAAGTAGCCTATTTTCCAGTCTAGGTCATAAGATATCTGTGTGCAAACTTTCATGCAAATCAGTTCAGTCATTTACGCGTATTAATTCAATTAAACTTTCCTAATACGTGATAACTCTTAAAATAGTAGCCTATTTTCCAACATAGGTCATAAGCAGGCATGGGCAGAGAACGAGCACCCGCTCAAAGAGCATCACCATCACGTGTACGTATACAAGCAAGAGCGTAACGACGAGAACGCGTCAGCATGCAAAATGATCCCTGCAAAAAATGGGACTAATGCGGGATGACTCCGGGAGCAATCGCAAAGGAGCATGCGACTAATACCACTTTTGATCTCTTTATATGGAATGAACTGATCGCTTTTGTTCGAGCATGTCCTATGAAGAGACTAATTGTTCACCTTTATACCCAAACGGGTATAAAAAGCGACTAGTCACTTTTAAAAAATAAAAATTTGAGCCGGCTGAGATTCGAACCGGGGTGCTCAGTTTTGTTAGGCGAATACTCTCTCTGTTTGCCAACGCCGCACATGAAATTTCATTGACTAAGTGCGTACATATCATTAAATCGTTAATAGTGCCCGTTAAAGATGAGTTGGGGACTAATTGATCTCCAATTATACCCATAAGGGATGAGTCGAGGCTAATTGATCTCCAATAGTACCCGTATGAGACTAGTTGGGAGTAATTAATGCCCAATCGTACCCGATACAATTGGGCATTAATTATTCCCAACTAGTCTCATAAGGGTACTAATGGAGGTTAATTAGTCTCGACTCATCCTTTATAGGTATAATTGGAGATTAATTAGTCCCCAACTCATCTCTAACGGGTACTATTAACGATTTAATGATATGTACGCACTTAGACAATCAAATTCCATGTGCGGCGTTGGCACACAGAGAGAGTATTCGCTTAACAAAACTGAGCATCCCGGTTCGAATCTCAGCTGGCGCAAATTTTTATTTTTATTTTTTAAATGTGAATAGTCGCTTTTTATACCCGTTCGGGTATAAAGGTGAACAATTAGTCTCTTCATAGGACATGCTCGAACAAATGCGATTAGTTCATTCCATATAAAGAGATCAAAAGTGGTATTAGTCGCATGCTCCGTTGCGATTGCTCCCGGAGTCATCCCGGATTAGTTCCATTTTTTGCAGGGAAGCTATCTGTGCGAAATGTATTGCAAATCAGTTAAGTCGTTTCCGCGTATTAATTTAATCACACCTTTTTTAACAGGTGGCAACTCTTCCAAAAAATTAGCTTATTTTCCACTGTAGGTCATAAGCTATCTGCTTGCAAAATTTGATGCCAATCCGTTCAGCCTTTTCCGCGTATTAATTTAATTAAACTTTTTTAGCAGGTGGTAACTCTTAAAAAAAGTAGCATATTTTTCAACCTATAAGCTATCTGTGTGAAAACTTCCATGCAAATTAGTTCACTCATTTCCGCGTATTAATTAAATTAAACATTTCTTATACGTGGTAACTCTTAAAAAAGTAGCCTACGCTACTTTACGCGTATTAATTTAATTAAACTTTTTCAACATGTGGCAACTCTTCCAAAAAATTTGCCTATTTTCCACTGTAGGTCATAAGCTATCTGTGTGCAAATTTTCATGCAAATCCATTCAGTCGTTTCCGCGTATTAATTTAATGAAACTTTTTTAACAACTGGCAACTTTTAAGAAAAGTAGCCTATTTTCCAATCTAGGTCATAAGCTATCTGTGTGCAAATTTTCATGCAATTCCATTCAGTCGTTCCCGCATATTAAATAAATAAAACTTTTTTAACAGGTGGAAACTCTTAAAAAATAGCCTCTTAACCAATCTGGCCCATAACCTATCTGCGTACCAAATTTCATGCAAATCCGTTCAGTCGTTTCCGCGAGATGATTTCCCAAACATCCAAACATACAAACTTTCACATTTATAGTTTTAGTAAGATTGCTTGGTAGCGGCAGAGCTGAAATGCGCAATGAGTTCGTTCATACCTACATATATATGTATACATACCCAAGAAACATTGGGCTTGGTTAACAATTCGAAAATGATTGGAAAATTAATAATGATAATGAATGTGGAATAGGTTAGTATTCGATTCGAGAACTAGGCCATTCTCCAGCAAAATGGAACCTTCGTTATCCAATGAATTTTTCCTTCGTTATGAATTCGAAATCCAGCCCATTATTGAATTAAAATTTTAATGAGAGAGAGTGATTGTATTATATTTCCCTTTGAAAATTAGCTAGATTTCACTTCCTCTCTTGTTACTATGGTTTTCATTTTTTTCCGAACCCATCTCGAATGTGTTTCCAATACACTATGAAGGTTGGAAAACTAAGGTTGCTTATGAGTTCGTTCTCAGTTCGATATTCATATTGGATATCGAAGGTAATTTTCGAACGTTCGCCAAAATGTTTATAGGGTATATATATGTATACATACATACGTGCGTTCAATAATACATATACATATATATATCGCACACCGTCTTCAAAAGAGTCACACCTCAAAATAATACGTTTGTCAGAAAATGCGAAAAACTAGTTGCGTTCCCCAGGGTTAAAACCTGTAAAACTGTCAAAAGGCAAAAGAAGCCAGAGAACCGAGTACGGGAACGCTTTCTGGTAAATTCCTGTAAATTCTTGCAACTTCTTGCGAGTTAGGGAACGCAACTACTATTTCTTAGCACATGATAATCATATGGGCAAGGGCGACTTTACCTAAGGTTTTTTTAACAAATTATAACAAAACTTTGCTCCAGTTTTTGCTGAGAGGTAAATAGAAGCTCTGTGTACATTTTT